AATAAGACACATCAGCAAATCCAACAATGACTGAATCACTTCTAATCTTAATACACATAAAAATAAAATAAACCCCCAAAACACACTAAGAAGGACGAAGCCATTTAAGGTGGAACGGGAAAATTTGAACAAGAAGCTGGCTGATGCACCATTTAAGGTGGAACGGGAAAATTGGAATAAGCTGCTGGCTGATGGACCATTTAAGGTGGAGCGGGCAAATTGGAACAAGATGCTGGCTGATGCACCATTTAAGGTGGAGCGGGAAAATTGGAACAAGATGCTGGCTGATGCACCATTTAAGGTGGAACGGGAAAATTCAAACAAGATGCTGGCTGATGCACCATTTAAGGTGGAAATTCGAACAAGAAGCTGGCAAATAAGAAACTCACTTCAGCTTCGTGTAAGAAGCTGCTAACGTTAATCTACTATGAATATCTACACGGATTAAGGAATGCTATAATTTACCCAGCTCAAAGCTTTAACCATCACTGTAAATAAATAACTACTACATAAAGTTAAGATCCCCTGAATAGACTGTTAAATGAAATAAGCTTAATATAAAACCAGAGGAAAAACAATCACATCAACAGGTTCTCTGAGCCTCATTAACCACACGGCCATATCTACACAAACATCACACAGACAATACGCATCACACAGACATGAGTGTGGATCACTGCGTTCCCTCCGTTATACAATCCTATCCCACCTTCTGAGTGTGATATTCCTGAAATAGTGTAATTTTGGACAGTATCTTTATTAAACTGCCGCTCTGTAATGGTACTGAATGCAGTCCAGCCCCGATGTTGACCGCCCTAAAATGGCGGCGCCGTTGACGTGCCTGACTGGACCCAACGCGGCATCTCGGTATGTATATCTATGATGTAAACTCTTACTCTGATTTCTATCGGATTTCTCAGTCTGCGCATGCGCGAGAACAGACGGACAGTACCAGATATAAGCAAGAAGCGCAAACACAGAATAATGCATTCATATTTCATATTTTCAGGTAAAGTGGCGGGACGATTTAAAAAAAAATGTATGAAGTTTGAGTGTTGCGTAACGTTTACGTCACGTCTCCTTCTGTGAGTTTATTGGCTGGTCGCAAAGCAGAAATCTGATTACTGTCTGACTCATGCAGACCTGGAGTTTCCCCATTATCTACTCAAGTGCATGAAAACGCGGTGATCGGATTACGGATAAGGTCTGATTTTCTGCAGGTATCGGATTATTAGGCTGCATGTAAACGCGCTCAATGTTTAATTGGCCTCAGTAAGTTATTGAGCCAACCTACAGCGCCGCTTTTCGCGCGCATTCACTCATTTCGCATCAGCGCGAGCCGCAGCCGTTACAACTGAGGAGAAGAGCTGAATCCGAACAATTCACAGTTATACCGAAACAGGCTAATAAATTAATAATAATGCGACTTTATTAGTCCGACACGATAACAGAAGGTAGTCAGCGTTGACGCTGGCTGTTATTAATTAACTGTTTATTTATTACGATGTCGGCTTCCTTGTGAATTTAGCCAGCTAGGCTAGCAGAGTCCTACACCGAGGCAACTTGGCCCAAAACTGACAGGTTATATTTTTATGTTTGTATGTTTGAATTAAGGTGGTGTAACAGCAAGAAAATCTAATATAACTGTTAATGTGAGAGGTAAATTAGCTGTTAAGCTGTATTAAATTAAGCTATTTTAAATTAGCTGTTAGCAAGCTAACTTACGTAGTTAGCGTAGCTACCCCTAACATCGGCCGTCCCCCAATATCGGCCACACGCATTTCATCTCTCTCTCTCCGCCAACTGCTCAGGCGAAATTCAAAACACGTAAGCTTGCGCCTTACAAGGGCATTTAAAATGTATTCTAGCAAAAAATCATACATACACACACTCATCTAAACCGCTTATCCTTCTGGGTCGCGGTGGGGTGCTGGAGCCTATCCCAGCTGTCATTGGGCAGAAGGCAGGATACACCCTGGACAGGTCGCCAGTCCATTGCAGGGCAGACAGACAGACATACACACACATTCACACCTAGGGGCAATTTTAGCACGTCCAATTGCCCTGACTGCATGTTTTTAAACTGTGGGAGGAAACCCACACAGACACGGGGAGAACATGCAAACTCCACACAGCCGGGAATCGAACCCAGGCCATTCTTGGTGTGAGGCGACAGCGCTACCCACTGTGCCACCGTGCCACCCTTATTTTTTTACAATTACAATTAATTAATTATCGCCTCACAGCAAGAAGGGCCTGGGTTCGATTGCCGGCTGTGTGGAGTTTGCATGTTCTCCCCGTGTCTGCGTGGGTTTCCTCCGGGTACTCCGGTTTCCTCCCACAGTCCGAAGACATGCAGTCAGGCTGATTGGACATGCTGAACTGCCCCTAGGTGTGAGTGTGAGTGTGAATGTGTATGTCTGTCTGTCTGCCCTGTGATGGACTGGCGACCTGTCCAGGGTGTGTCCTGCCTTCCGCCCAATGACAGCTAGGATAGGCTCCAGCACCCCACCGCGACCCAGAAGGATAAGCGGTTTAGATGATGTATGTATGTAAACAAACAGAACACACAGCTCATTTTCGTTTGGCGATGGATATTCGTCTGTGTAGAAAGTTATCTTATCGGTTAGCTTTCTCTGCTCTGAGGTAAAAAAAAGTGCCGCCATGGTAGTGTTACGTATATGGAGTAAGGGTGCCCACAGAGGACAAAGTTAACCTCATTGTAAACCACTGTAAAGCACTGAATCTGGTAGGAATGATGCGTGAACTGCGTGCCTGATTGTGCTCCACACTTAGTTAAGCAAGCAAATCAAGCTTAATAATGAAACAATACAATAACGTCACATTTTACTAACGAATATATACATATATTTTATGTTTTTTACAATTTTATATGCTGAATTTTAGGCTGAAAGATGAGTTACGGAAAACCAGAAGTGAGGTGGCCAAAGTAAGGAGAGAGTTGAGCATCCTGACAGCCTGGTGGATGAAGCTGTCCCCCAGTCTGCTGGTCCTGGCCCGGAGACTCCGCAGTCTCCTCCCTGATTGCAGCAGGCTGAAGAAGCTGTGTTGTGGGTGAGTGGGATTATTCAGTAACTGCATGAAATAAATGTACATTTTCATTTTATTTAATTATTTATATATTTATTTTTGTAAAAGTTCCCCTCAAATTAACAGAACATGTGTTTTATGATCACACATATTGCTATATGCTTACAATTTACTGCTGAAAGCCAAAAATCTTAGACGCTCTTTGTATTATTTATAAAAATAATTTTTACAGAGCAGATCACTTAAGAGACGCCATCTGTTTATAGTTTACAGCCCAGATTTGTGGAAAAATGGGTCGACTTTCAGTAGACAAAAAATTGTGAGTTCAGGTTCTTTTATTATAAGGATTTAAAATGACATCACCCATCTATTTGACTGGAAAGAAGACAGTTACAGCTCTCATACGACCCCCACCTTTAGAATGAAGCTTATGAAATATGAAAGTTATGAAGAATATGATGAAGTGGGTTTTGGAACCACTGGTGGTCCCAAGGAGTTAAAGAGGTTAAAGCTAGCTAACATGTTATCCTTATCTTGTGTACAGTGCCAGAAACCGCAGTGCTGCCCAAAAGTATTAGGATATTTTTTTATACGCTTTAATGATTCTTCTTTAGATTACTGTATTAAAAAATCGAACACGGTGATGTTTCTTTCAGAGAGAAACACTTTTAGCATAATATGACACTGATAATTATGGTGCCCCTAAAGTGACACATCATTCATTTTTAATAAGGTGTGGCCACAGATTAATACAGCAGGCCAAAAGTTAATTTATTGACGCTTCAAATTCATGTATTCTGGCCAAAGTTATTATATTGAGGCCAAAAGTCAATATTTTGAGGCCACTAGCTAATATTGAGGCCATAAATGTATATATTAAGGCCATGAATTACTATATTGAGGCCAAACGTTAATATACTGAGGCCATGAGTTAAGTTTCTCATGGTCACGTGGCTTCAATAGATTAATTTGTGGCCTGAATATATTAATTTGTGGCCACTTCTTTTTAAAATATAATCACCATGTCATCTTAGGGGCTCCTTAGATGGTAGACAGAAATCCTAGAGAAGAGCGCCAGCCGGACTGAACTAACGTTAAGGTTTCTGTAAAGCACAGATGTGGAAACCTCAACGTCTGGGTCTGTTTTTCTTACAGTGCCGTCGGTATTTCGTGGCTGTGATATGAAGCTTATAACAACTGGTGCTGTATGGAACCAAATGTAACACATTCTCTGTCAACCTGAAGAACCATTTCATCATGCAAAGAACCATTTAAGCATGCAAAGGGTTCTTTGAGTGCTCATGGTTCTATGTGCAACCATTTTCTGTACTAAAGAACCATCATTTTGGTTGTACAGTTGTATGCAAAAGTTTGGGCACCTTTGGTAGAAATTACATATTTTGTTGTTTATATAAGTCAAAATAAGTCAACACATAATCTACAGAGAACACACCTCTGCACATTTTAATGCACAGTTATTGTTTATTTACTGAAATTAACATATTTATAATATAAAAAAAAACAAAAAAATGCATTCCATTATATTAAACTCAGTAAATAAATAGAATTTGTGCACTAAAATTTGCATATAAATGTCCTATTCAGCAGTGTTCCCTGTAGAGGATGTTTTATTTTCTTATAATTTCTTATTTTGACTTAGAAAATTGACAGAACGTAATTTAACCAGGGGTGCACAAACTTTTGCATACAACTAGACATGTATTGGCAGCACTTAAAAAGCACTAAAACAAAAAAACCTAGCTTATTGTGTGAAGCCTTCAGCGTTCTCATTGTACAAATGATTGAAAATCACCTAAATGGTTTATAAAGTTAAATAAATAAATAAGCATTTAAATGAATCGTCTGAGTGCAGCGCCTGCTCCGTGCTGTAGGGGGAGACGTCATGCACTTAAACTTCTCTGAGCAGGTCTGTGTCTGTCAGTCTGCTGTAGGTCGTCCCGGAGAGCAGGAGTGCTGAACTCAGGAGAGACATGGGAGTGAAGTAAAAGTGAAGAAGCCCGTGGGAATATATCTGGAGAGAATCCGGCTGACCGGAAAGAACTTCCCCTACACCTCCGGCCATGGAGAGGGATGGAGGGAGCAGAGCGGAGGGAAACGGCGAGATGGAGCACACGCACCTTCACCTCACCTGCCTGCCGGAGAGATACATGAGGGCCAAGTTCTCCCTCTCTGCTTACATCTTCTGCTGGGCTGTGGTGAAGCTCTGCCAGGTGAGGAAACACTAACAGTGCACCAACAATAGGGTTTATTACTGTTTATTACATAGAGAAACAAGTGTGTTCTGTTTATTACAGACAGGAGTGAGTTTATTCTGTTTTTCTAGGGAGGAAAAATGTGTTTTATTTATTCTACAATCTCAAAAACGATCTTCAAGAGTTCCTTAGTAAAGGCAGTGGTTCTGTTTAGAACCATGAGTACCATATAGAACCATTTGCATGCTTCAGTGATTCTTTGCCTGGTCAAATGGATCATCAGATTGATAGACAATGTGTTGTTTGGTTCTATATAGCACCAAAAAGGGTTCTACTATTGTCTATGAATAATACTGTCTATTAAGCTTGACATCATAGCAGTAGCAGAACCATATTTGGTGTTACACTCTTAAAAATATATGCTTTAAGGGTTCTTTACTAAAGACGATGAGTCTGTAGAACGAAGAACACTCAAGCAACCATTGGCAACCTTAAAAGGTTCTTTGCATGGTGAAATGGTTCTTCAGATTAGTGGAGAATGTGTTGCGTTTGGTTCTATATGGTGCCATAAAGGGTTCTTCTGTTGTCACAAGCTTGTCATCATGACAATAGCAGAACCCTTTTTGGTGCTACACTCTTAAAAATATGCTACTTCAAGGGTTCTTTACTAAACACAGTGGTTCTATGTAGAACCAAGAACACTCAAAAAACATTTAAGAGTTCTTTGCATGGTGAAATCGTTCTTCAGATTGATGAAGAATGTGTTGTCTATGGCTCTGCGTAGAACCTTTTTGAAAATGGTTCTATATAGATCCAAAAAGGGTTCTTCTATTATTACAATGTCAAGCTTGTAACAATAGAAGAACTCTTTTTAGTGCTCTATAGAACCATGTTCTCCACCAATGTAAAGAACTATTTCACCATGCAAAGAACCATGTGCATGGAAATGGTTCTATATAGAACTCATGGTGCTAATAGAACCATTCTCTTTACTAAAGAACCATTGGAGAGCCATCATTTTAAAGGGGGTAGAGAGGAAAAATAGTCCATTTAAGGAATTACTTTAGTTTGTTTATTATATTAAGGGAAAAAAGTTCATTTAAGTTTATTATTTTAATTTTAAGTTCATTCTAGATAAGAATTGATTTATTCTGATTTATTCTAGAGAGAAAAAATATTTATTCTATTTATTCCATAAGAAGTAGTTCACTGTAAAAATGGTTTCATGTTTTAATTTAAAATAGTAAGTAACCTGGTTGCCTTTGAGTTTTTTGAACTTGTAATGGTTAGTTATCAGAATAATAATCTGCCTTTTACATTCTGTTAACTTAAGACATCCATCTTACCTATTTAAATTAAAGCACTGAATCATTTTACAGTGTTTTTATGTATCATTGTGAAAAAAAGTCAGAACACAGTCAAAAAACACAGATAAAGATCCAGTTATTTTAATTTTAGGGAGAAAAAATATATCCTAGAGATGAATGTGTTCATTCTGTTAATTCTAGAGTTCATTCTTATTTATTTTAGAGTTAATTCTATCCATTCTAGACTTTATTATGGAGAGGAGCAGGTTTATTCTAGGCTGCTTTATTTAGGTGAGCCTGTTTTGCTCACTGTGTTATGAAGCAAAGTGTGCTGTCCACTAATCTGAAGTCTCGCTCTGTACAGTGACCTTCTTTTTGTCTCAGTAACAAAAGACCTTTGTTACTTTTAGCAGCAGTTAATCGACTCTGCAGAGGATTCAGCGCCTTTTAGCGTCTGATTCTGACCTCGTCCTCAGTTTATTTAGAGGAGGCTGCATTTATCTCACAGCGCAGAAGCTCAGAAAGTCTGTCAGGCTGAGAGCTGAGGCACACGGGGGGTTTACAGAGTTTAAAATTAGACCCTAAGGGGTGGACGTCCTGCGGCGAGTCTGTGTTCAGGGGCTTAGTGGAGGCACTTTTACCTCCCCCTTCACCTCTTTAGCCCTTTGTCAAAGTGAACAGGACAGTGGCAGATGTGTTTTGACTGTGGACTAAAGCTCACTATAAATCCAGTGGCTCCTTAAAGGCGAATTCAACTGAATTGTTTTACATTTTGCACATTTTAATCCACAATTACTGTTTATTTGCTGAAATTAACTGCATTCCAATCATATTAAACCCAATAAACTCAACAAATAAATATAAATTGTGCACTAAAATTAGCAGAAAATGCCATATTTAGTGGTGAACCCTGTAGAGGGTGTGTTATTTTCTTTTAATTTCTTATAATTATAGTTAGTTTTCACTTACCACAGAAAATTACCAAAACATGTAATTTGACCAAGGGTGCTTAAACTTTTGCATACATCTAGACATGTATTGGCAGTGCTGAAAAGCAGTAAAGCAACAAGAACTGTAGCTTATTGTGTAAAGCCTTCAGTGTTTGTTTATAGAGCTAAATAAATAAATACTTTAAATCTTTAAAAAATACTGTTGCATCTGCTGCAACATTTTTTTCCTGAGAGCTCACTATAAATCCATTGGCTCATTAAATCCGTTGGCTCATCCTGCATAACTCAGTGTGTGAGATGTAAACAGAGTGATTCAGAGTGGTTTGGTGTGAAATAGTTCAGGTGTCTTTACAGTGGTGGTGATAGGAACCAGGGGTCGCCATGACTACAACACCAATATGGACATTTTATTTACTATCCAGAACCACCAGTGAACCTACACGAGTCTTCTGAGTTTATATGGAATGTTGATGATGGGAAATAGTGGAAAATCTAAAATAATATGTTATAATAATAATTTTGTGCTGGTCTGAGTGGATCAAACCAGCGTCAGTGTCCCTGCTGGACTGAGAATAGTCCACCAACCAAAAATATCCAGCCAACAGCGTCCTGTGACCACTGATGAAGGACTAGAGGATGACCAACACAAACTATGCTGCAGCAGATGAGCTATTGTCTCTGACTTTACATCTACAAGGTGGACTGACAAGGTAGGAGTGTCTAATAGAGTGGACAGTGAGTGGACACAGTGTTTAAAAACTCCAGCAGCACTGCTGTGTCTGATCCACTCGTACCAGCGCAACACACACTAACACACCACCACCACCGTCAGTGTTACTGCAGTGCTGAGAATGATCCACCACCCAAATAGTACCTACTCTGTGAGGGTCCATGGGGGTCCTGACCACTGAAGAACAGGGTAAAAGGGGGCTAACAAAGTATCAGAGAAACAGATGGACTACAGTCTGTAACTGTAGAACTACAAAGTGCACCTATATAGTAAGTGGAGCTGATAAAATGGACAATGAGCGTAGAAACAAGGAGGTGGTCAGAATGTTATGCCTGATCGGTGTATATTTTCAAGAAAAACACTTGTTTTTAGAATTATTCTGAATAAAATCGTTAAAAGAAAATAAAAGAATGCTTAAGAAGTTATTTGAAGAATAACAATCCCTGGTTCCTATCACCACCACTGTGAGCAATTCTGAGTCGGTAAGTTTCTCTAGAACGGAGCATTTCACAAAAAACACTCTAAAACGACTCTGTTTACATCTTAATTATGCAAAAATTTAGAACATTTGGTGGAGTTTCTCTCTAAATGACTGTCCAGTATGCACTACTCCCCAGAGACACTCTGAGCTCTTTAACACAGTGAGCCTCACCTTAAAGAAACAGTCTAGAATGCGTCGGTTCCTCTCCAGATTACACTGTTCATGAACTTCTGTTCTCTAAATCAAAGTCGTTCTTCTGTGAAATAAACATATTTATGTTCCCATAAAGATTCCTGTTACTGTGGTCCACTTAAACTGACACCAGCACAGCACGGATACCGAATCAAAACACGCTGCTTATCTTAGACACCAGCCTAATTTAAGATTTCAAACATGTCACCATGATGATGTGTGCATTAATATTAGCCCCCTACTGTTGTTATTAAACAAGATTGTTGCTCAGATTCAAACACCACAATGTTGTTGTACAGCAGAAAGAAGCTATCATAACATTTCTGTTTGTTTTGCTGTTTTTTTGGCACGTGAGTCACATATTTCTGTGCTTATAGTGAACTATGATTTTGCCTTTGAATCAGACTGATCAGATTGGCACAGCACTCTGTTTACATTCATTTAAACCACACAAAACGAGGCTAGAAACGTGTCGCCCTCATCAGCTCCTCCAAACTCAGGCACAGAGATTCCAAAGGAACTGAAGTGAGCATCTCAGCTGCTGCAGTTTAAATCGGGACACGAATATCTGGACTATGAATCCAGAATATAATTATAGTTTACAGCATATTAAGGCTTAGGAATCGGAGCAAAACATTACAACCTGTCGCATCGTTCAATACAAGCTTCTCAACTTAATACACAAAAGCACTGAACGATACATTAGAACCGAGTTTGCTCTGCAAAACATGGTATCCTGGCAAGTGAAATGATATTAAATGTAGTTTATATAACTAACATTTTTTTTCATTTTGAGATTGTTGTAGGCTTATTATAAGATTTTAAAAACTTATTTCCAAACATTTTTTTATTTGTTTTAACCTCTTTAACTCCTTGGAACCACCGGTGGTTCCAAAACACACTTCGTCATATTCTTCATAACTTTCATATTTCATAAGCTTCATTCTAAAGGTGGGGGTCGTATGGGAGCTGTAACTGTCTTCTTTCAAGTCAAATAGATGGGTGATGTCATTTTAAACCCTTATAATAAAAGAAGCTGAACTCATAATTTTTTTTTCTACTGAAAGTCGACCCATTTTTCCACAAATCTGAGCTACAAACTGGATCTCAGATGGCGTCTCTTCAGTGATCTGCTCTGTAAAAATTACTTTTCTCATTCAAAACAAGTAAGAAACACCAACAAACAAGTTTAATAATCTTATAATACGCTAACAACAGTCTCAAAATGAAATATATTAGATATGGAAACTATAAAGTCCACTTTCTTGCCAAGATACCATTTTTTGCAGTGTGTTACTGATTAGTTTGCATAAAAATGAATCGAGCAAGCCCACAATGAGGGCAGACCGCTGGGAGAA